CTCGTTGGCCGAGTGGTCGAAAGTCTGACTGCCGGGCAAGGGATCTCGGCCCGGTTTAGACAATGACGGTTTTGCCGTTTTTATGAAAAAAGACCTTAGAGAAGAAGACCTTTAGGAGAAGGACACGAGCATTCGTAGATAATGAAGAAACGAAGAAGAGATATGAAAAAAAAATAACCGTTTAACACTCGGTAGTTAATTTTAATACCTACTATACGTAAATGATAATAATAATTTTGTCCAATCATGGAATTCAGCAGAAAGACAATACATCAAACATCTTAACTCGTCAAGTACCATCATTATAGACACAATTATAGAACAATAGGTTGAGGTCACTGGTGTCCTCGCGGTGTTTGACAGTCTAATCCATTTTTGTACTTATTTATGTTACTAGCAAATTTCTTGTTATATGATAATTAGTGTTATCGGGCTGTCCGGATTAAGTATTTTATTAGTCAATAAATTTTATCGATTAAGATTATCTGTGAAGAAATAATGAACATTATTTTATTACCTCGTAACTACACACTTTTCAATTAGTTTGTAGGCTGCTCACCTACGTTTTATTATTTATCATTTCATTATTCTGTTCCTTCCTCATATTCATACTTTTTACTATTAGTTAGCTCACCTCTTTTCTTTAGTTTTCTTCTTCTAATAGAATCTGTCAATTCTTTTGTTTTCTAATGTCATAATTTTTTCTATTGTAAAAATGTCTTCACGTTATATTATATTTTAATAAAACAGTTTATTTTACACTTTAAATATTATTTACTAAAAGTTTATTTAACTAAGTTTTAGTTTATATTAAAGTATTTTTTTTCAGCAATACTATAACCTACCTATGGCCTATTGAGTAGGGGAGTATAAGAGGTTACTGTGGTAAAAAAGCGACACTTTTTCATCATCTCCATTAAGTCTTGGATAGTTTCCAAAATGCTACCTAGCCATAGATCTAGAACATGTCCTCTTTTGTCGTACCTAAAGACCAGGGGCGGCATTTAAATTATATTCTGCAAACCGTAACACTTATCGATAATTTATAAAATTTAAACCGTGAATGAAATGATTCGCATTTTATAGCATGACAAATTTCCTAGAAAATTATAAGTTACATATATCGTACGTACAATACATTCTAGTTATACATAAAATGGTTACGTTTAAAACGTTTATCAGACCATCCGGTTGTAATATAAATAATCGGACACGTTTTCAGAATATCGTAACACTGAAACATTAATAGCACCGATCTAAAGTAGAATTTTATTGACTAGAATAAAATCAACCTTTTTGATCAAGACTTATTCGTTTGAAATACTGGCACGTTATTTTTAAATCTAGGAACACTTAAAAATGGAACTCACAAACTTTTTTTTTCACGGACGTGGCAAAGGCGCGAAGCACACGCGAGCCGGAGGACGGCTGTGAGGTCACTGAGGAGAGTTCTTATCAAACCGTTCACTATGTAAACGAGGAAATATATTGAGTATACATCACAATGAATGACGTCGACTTTATAAAGTGCACGTGCGATCAACACATGCTAGTCTTGATCTAGCGTGCACGTAGACATAATGAGATATTTGTATTTCCATGTGGTTGTTACGGAATTTCCAAGAATTTATAATCATGTTTCTTGATCATATTCTCTGTATTTTCATAAAACAGGACTGTTATGTTTATGTTTTTTCTGTCTAACTGCTGTGCATTGCCTTTGGCTTTGGGGTAGACGAGGTTTTGAGATAGACCAATGACATACATAGCTCCTAAACAAAACTTCTTTTTGACGGGGTGATACCTTTATAAGGCGGCAGGTTTTTAAAAGAAAGAAAAGAAAGTAAGTAAAGGGTGTTGTAATTTTTTACTGCTTCGCCTCTTAATATTGTTCTCTGCCTCTAGAGAAGAGATAGTAGAAGATTTATTAGAATTAATTGTTAGAATAAATCTTCTACTTTATTTTGTCGATCCCGAACAGTTATTGATATCCCTGCGACTCGCCGAACTTTATTGATTGGATGTTTTCACTAATGTCTTTTTTTTTTTAAGGGGGGAAAATCATCGAATGACTGCTCCCGCCTGGGTGAGGCGGAAGGGAGTGTCAGACTCTTACTGACTAAAAACCACCCCGTTCCTTCTCCTGCACGTCGAGCCGGAGCCCCGGTTACCCGTTAGGTTCTCCGCGACTCCGAATCGGCATCGGCACTATTGGGCCCCAACTGTGGTGGTCTGATGGCTCTTTGAGGCGCGCGCGGAACGCGACGCGCCGTACGCTCGGGTCTGTTTCTGGTCGGACGGGGAACCACCCATGCTCGCCGTCCGCAGGCCCGCGCTTACGGTGGCCGGAGATCGTCACGCGATGCCCGACGCCCGGTGTGTCCTTCGCGATGGCTGGGTTGCGAGGAGGCAGCGCTTCGCTGCCTCACGCGTCCCGCCTCCTCCTTAGCTAGCATTTCACTAATGTCTATAACCATTTAGTTGTATGGTAACGTAACATCAATATGGCGCACAGAATAGTATTACATGTAGATTACACTATCAGCACTTGTATCAACTTGTTAGCTGCGTATTGTGACACTGCCCGTTGTTCTCTACTATGATTGATACGATTTTAATAGTTTTATCTTAGTTTTAATAAAAGTAGAGAAGTATAGATATCTGCACATATCTTTGCTATATTTTAAAGTCTAAAAAAATAATCTTCATTCAACTTCTAGATTTGCTCATTGAGAGAAGGAGGGTTGGGGGTCCTTCAGGGCCGCCATAGACTACGCTGAGGGCCTTGGGCACACAAAAGTTCGCGGCCCTTGTGGAAGGTTTCTTTTTGAACGTCGCACCACACCAGGATTTTCTCCTATATAGTGGGTGCGCTTAGAAAGATGCGTTTACTAACATACAAGTTCACATAAACTTGACCCAAAATAGCAATTTGTGGATCACAAGGATGTGCTCCCTGGAATCTAACATCTGGTTTCCGCGCATCGTGTGGCAGGTGTGTGACAGTCGTAGAAATTGTCGTTACGGGGCCCCCTGAGGATGGGGTCTCTGGGCACGGGCAGCGTGTCCTTATGGTAAAGACGGAACTGGAGTTCTTTATTCCGCTAACCGCGAAAAAAGTACCTATGCTCATTAATTTACAATACAACACAGATGGTAAACTGTCAGCATTGTGATACAATCGAGATTCGAGGATACAATACAATGAAGCAGCAAAGAAAATTTAACAAAATATACTCCGAGGCCTTAGACGAAAGAGAGGCGTTCGGCTCTCTGATTGGCCAGATCCAAGGAACCAACTAATCAGAGAGCCGAACGCGGTCTTGTTTCGATTTAGTTACTTTACAAACTCGTACTATACTAAGGCCTCTGATCGTAATAATATCGATGCTTATAATAGGTTGGTACGTGTATCTGATGCGTCATTTGTTTCCCACGGTAGTTAATTTTTAATTGCAGTCAAGTGACATTAATTAGTTAGTCGATTTCTTACCATTCTATTCATCAGTCTGAATATTTACAACTGATTGAAACATTTTTTTACCACAAAATGTTCAAAAGTTACCATATTTAATGCTTTTTCTACCTGAAGGATAAGGCAGAAGGGAACATAGATATTATAAAGAAGGTTTTCATATTTCTGTGGCACCAGCCGGCTGCTGTGCAACATGTCACGAATTTGGTTCCCACACCTTTTGATAATATAGGTACTTTTATTCTTCCATACTCCCGTGTGTCGCATTTACGACTATCTATAGATCAGGTAAAAGCCGAAAAACATCAATTGAAAGATTTAACATAATATAACATCACGCCTTTTATCCCCGAAGGGGTAGGCAGAGGTGCACACAGAAGTAACATCCACTTTTCACTATTCATGTTTTGAGTCCCATGTAATAAGCCATATAATGGTAAGCCCATTGCCATATACCGGGTACATTTCCAGACATCATGCTACTACTGAAATTTTTTTTAAAAACCCAGTAATACTTTGCTGACCCGGGAACCCTTACCCGGCAGTCACACTTGCGACCACACGGCCATCGAGGCAGACATTTAACATTATCTTAAAATAACATGATTTGATATTTATGACTAGACAAATAGAAGTAAGAATCTAAGATTCCGAACGGTGTGGTGACCACAGCGTAAAATATACAACCCTTTTGCAGGTACCATGTTTTTTAAGGGAGGAAAGTAATTGAATGGCTTCTCCTGCGTCACTCAGGCGGACAAGGTGTCAGACCCCTACTGACTAAAAACCTTTGCAGGTAACATAAACGATGACTGAGGCACCATGCATTTGACAAAGACCTGACAGTATAAGTAAATCTGAACCTTTTAAACTCCAATCTCTGCCCAAGCATGGGGATTATGGCAAAACCTCTTATGTAGAGGTAACCCATGTGAATAGTCAGTACCAACAATAATGACTTAGTAATTTCTATTTTGAATCAACTTGCCCTACAATGTGACTTATTCTTGTATCCTAGTCAAACAACCTTTTAAAACATTTTCAATCTTAATGCCAGCAAAATAAGTTGTGTTTTGAATGCCTCAATAAGTTTGTAAATATAGGTAGTTATCAAACTATAAAATATAATGTTGTATTATAAACCAATACTTAATATACTGCATAAGCAAATAGCTTCACTTTTAATTTTTTTGTTGACGTTCAAGAGTGCCTTTTTGGTCTATTTAAAATAAATAATTTTGAGTTTTGACTTCACTTGTCTATTACACTGTAATTCCACCAAGGAATAAACGGCGGAGCAGATTAACAATGTTAAAATATTTTGTCTAAAAATTTAAAAAAAAAATTGATATTAATATATCTAACAACCAGGTATTCCCTAAAAATATTTTAATGATTGGTGAGTCACAGACTTGTAATTATAGCATGATTTTTATAAGTACTTAGTCACAATTCTCTATAGTTCAAAAAATAAAAACAATATTTTTAAATAAAATAGCAAAAAATTTAATTCAAAGATACTCACTCATACACAGTGGGCTTCATATTTATTCAGCTCTCGACAACAAAACGTTGCGAACTATTCAAGGTCTGTTTATATAGTATTAAGTATACAATGTTCTTGGTGCTGAAAAACCATTATACATCATTGTTTACATTACACGATCAAACTTCAGGCAGTAATAGACGTTATTTAATTAAATAACGATAAAATGTCTGTTACAGATGTATCTGTATTTGTTAAATGAAAGCAATGATATGTTATAGGTATTATAATAAGTTTTTTCCAGACGATATTAATTAATTTAATAATTATTCAATAGTTTTGATTCTGTTTCAGTTTTGCACTCGTTTTGACAAAATACCGGGCGACACTAGAAATGTCACTTCACCACACTTGTCTGTCAATAGTAAATTATTGTCATTTAAAAAAAACATTAACTTGTGTTCGTGAAATAAATTATTTATTATAAACTAGGTTCTGCCCGCGACTTCGAATCCCGTTTTCTCCCATTCTCATAGGATTTTCAGTATTTTTTCTGTCTTAAGAACCATCTCCTAACAAAAAAAAGCATATATGTATATACGGTCGAATTGAGAACTCCTCCTTTTTTTGAAGTTGGTTAAAAAATACAACAAAAAAAGAATGACTAAGGGAAAAAGGGATTAATTTATATATATATAGATTATTAATTATTTTAATTTATTAACCATTTTCATTAATAAATTGAGTTGATAAATGTGTGCAATTTTCAACCTTATACAATCGTGCAATAAACAATCTTTGAATGTATAGTGTCTAGATCAGTGATTCCCAAAGTGGTTCAGGTGGACCCCCTGGGGTCCACGGGAGACTTGCTGGGGGTCTACGTAGGCGTAAATAAACAATGGGGGTACATAAGATGTTAATGGGGGTCCACGAAAATGTATCTACTTTAGGTAGTAAAGAGCAAAAATGTGAGCATAGTTTTTTATAAGGGCCTACCTACATTGTTACAAGTACGTGGTTGTCGAAAGGTGCATGCTTAACGAAATTTTACTCTGTTTTCGATTCCGTATTAGAATTACTAGAAAGCATAGATCCAAAATTTAAAAGAAAACTTGATCAAATTCAAACCAAACATTGCGTATTTGACTTTTTTCTTTTTTTCGACTCCCCATACAAAATGATCAAGTTACGTGACCGACTTTGTATGAAAGTTGAAACTTTCTATGCGAATTTCGAAAAGCCATACAACAAATGTTGCTCAAAATGGTTGGTAGAACATGCGGTTGAAGAGATGTAAATGTTAACAAATACACGCTGTATAAAGACAGAGCTTATAAGCGACAGAATTTTTATTTTTTGGCGACTTTAAGGATATGGTAGATATGTAGCAGCAGGGGGTCCACCGAAACCAGTGAAATTTTGAAAGTGGTTCATGAGAAAAATAAGTTTGGGAACTACTGGTCTAGATGGATTGTCAGTTCACGAAAAGCGGCCCAACCCAAAAGTTTGCAGCGAACTGTTCACTGCAATGCACTTTCCCGCCAAGTAGTAGCAATTCTGTCACCATAGTATTCTAACCGAATGAAAAAAGAAGGTTGGTTTGGATCCTTCTTTTTATGTTCGAATCTGTTCGAAGTTATATTTTTTGATGGAATGGGTGCAACTGCAATAATATTTTGAATGCTGCAATAATATTAACTGAATACATTTTATTCATGGACTAGCTTCTGCCCACGGTTCCGCTCGCACTCTTATAAAGTATTGAGGGCAGATTTACAAAAGATAAAAAAGAATTGGTGCCCGATGTATAATAATGATGATACTAATTATAGGTGTCTTAAAAATTACGAAATGCGCCATACAAACTTCCAGCCCCTGTTTTAGGGAAGTGGTGGGTTAGAAAGAAACGAAATGTCGCCTGTGATACTTTCAATCCTTTCAATAAAAAGGATTGAAAGTATAAAGTAGTACTATCTCCAATCAGTAAATTAATCACGTCAATTTCTAACAAAATAAACAGACGTAAACAAAATAATATTAAGTATATAATTGTACCTTTCTAGAATACATTATCTGACATATTTTTGACAAGTGAGTTATTATATCCCCTATACTTATTATACTCTTTGGTTATTATTACAGTGGATTATTGACAATTTATTTTTTTGAGATTACATAAAGGTATCCAAAGAGGCTGAATACTAATTTTATTAAACCACTGAACCTAATTGATTGAAACCAATTGAAACTCGGTTCATGGTTCGACTGAAAGACTTGTATCTATGGTCACGAATGAAATTATTAAAAAATAAACTCTTTCTGGTATCTTTATGTAGTCTATGCTCTTGCTCTTTCTCTCCCGTGTAGTTCTCAAGGTAGCTGTCCTTACGAATTTTTAGATTAATTTTATATATTTAAGCGTTTTGTAAGACAAATAATAAGTGTTTCTATTTCTATATTAATCCTGTATTTTACATAGGCCAATAATTCATTGTTGACGGTAAAGATTACTTAGATATTTTGTGGTGACAAATCCGTTCTCTCGGTGTCCAACGTTGTTTTGGTTTCTAAAAGTGCGGTTTTGAAAAGATTATTGCTAAAGTAATACAAAACGCCTAAATGTAAGGTGCATGTGTTTATGTCGGCGAGATTAGAAGTGAAAGATTGTTGGAAAAAGTTAAAATCGTGAAGTTAAGCTACCTAACCTAAAAATTGCGAGTGTTGTATTGAATTGGTGATTGTACGTTCCAGATGAGTACTAAAATCATCAAAGCGAGCGCCGCTGAGCCCGATGTCTTCGAGACATCGATCTCACAGGCCCTGGTGGAGTTGGAGACTAACTCTGACCTGAAGGCTCAACTAAGGGAGTTGTATATAACAAAAGCGAAAGAAGTAGAACTTCACAACAAGAAGGTAAGAACATATTTATCTAAAACTCCCTAGAGCAAAGATATTCAGTCTCCTCAGTCATTATTTTGGTGTATTACCCACATGCAAAGTTATATTCAAAGTCCCAACGTCCATGTGCAGTTTTTCAATGTATCCATCCAATGTTCTCATAAATTACTTTTAGAAGTTGTTTAGTCTTAGCTGTCAATTAAAATTAACAACAGAATGCATATTTTAATGATACATTGTAGGTACTAAACACTGTATTAATTTAAACAAACATAACTAATTACTTTAGATATTGAACCTTAATAATTATACTATAGTGTTATAAACCAATAAAACCCCTATCATAACTCCTTGCTAGTTGTCCTTTTGGTATTTTGAAGTCGCATTTGATGAAATTAACACTTCAGTACTCTCACATAATAGTTTATAGATACATTCTGAGAAATATGCATGCAATACTATTATACTGTAAGCCTAGCTGTCAAAATGTGACCTCTAAATACAATTTTAATGTAATCCAAATACAAACACATGTTATAATGTTATGGTTGTTTTGTAAATTTTGTGTCAGGCGATAGTTGGGAGGCTAAGTCACTATAGACTTTCTCATCCTTTGTTTATAAGTAGCTATTACCCGTTACCTAAAGACAAAGCTGTGGGTAACTGTATTGCCTGCGATTGATATATTTTAAAACAAAGCAATGAATCTTTATTGCTCTTATTAAGAGATCTCTCTATGCTTATTATCACATTTCATAACTGCTATTAAGTTTATAATATTATTTTATTTTTCCAGTCAATCATCATCTACGTGCCTATGCCCAAGCTGAAGGCTTTCCAGAAGATCCAGATCAGGCTGGTGCGTGAATTGGAAAAGAAATTCAGCGGCAAACACGTCGTGTTCATTGGAGACCGCAAGATTCTGCCCAAACCCAGCCACAAGACCCGCGTAGCCAACAAACAGAAGAGGCCTAGATCCAGGTACATAATTCGATCAATGAACATCATGATAATCATATCGGGAAGTTTTATCTAATCCTCTTTTATGTAAATAATTAGTTTGGGATATTGAGTACCTCGGACAGACAATCAATGTCAGTCAGCCGGAGTCGAACAGTCAATCAGAAACTGCTATCCTGAGCCACTACCACCACAGTAACATCCTTATTTTAACAATAATATTGTAGATCACAAGGCAGTTCTAGTTACTTGAAAGTTTTCAACTTTGATAAAATGTTTGAATGAAATGATGGTTTAAAACATTCTATTTACTATTGAAGCCATAAGCTACATTAGTTTATTACTACTATAACACAAACAATAGATATTTATCAAACTCCAGCTAAACTTTTTATAAAAATCTAAATAACAAAATATGGGACTCATAACATAAATAGTGAAAAGTGGGTGTTACATTGTACAGTGGCATAATGTGTACCTCTGCCTACCCCTTCGAGGATAAAAGGCGTGATTTTATGTTATTTGTGTGTTTAATCAACTAACTTTTATCCCCTTTCCAGGACATTGACGTCAGTATACGACGCCATCTTGGAGGACCTCGTGTTCCCCGCAGAGATTGTTGGCAAGCGCATCCGGATCAAGCTGGACGGCTCTCAGCTCATCAAAGTCCACCTCGACAAGAACCAGCAGACCACTATTGAACATAAGGTATGTTATGACCATTTTCAAAAGAGAGATTCCAGATTTTAAGCAAAATGGATACATTTGCTGATTTGATAAAGCATTTGTTCACAAAACTTCACTAAAATGTTTGTGGAATGAAGTGTTTTTTTATGGCATAAGCCGGTAAACAAGCAGACGGATCACCTGATGATAAGCAATCGGCGTCGCCCATGGACACCTGGAACACCAGAGGCGTTACAAGTGCGTTACCGGCCTTTTGGGGATTAGGAGTTTGAGGATCGTTGGGGATTCAGGAATTAGGGAGATTGGGGAAGGGGAGGATAATTGGGCCTCCGGTAACCTCACTCACACGACGAAACACAACGCAAGCGTTGCTTCACGTCGGTTTTCTATGTATGTTTAAAAAGCATCCATTATGTGCAAAAGCTCTTCTATTCCTATTGCCGGTTTCATCAAAGCTAATATGGTTCAGCCACTGGCCTTGCTCTATGCTTTCGATGACAGAAATACTTTTTGCACCATATACAAAATTTGGTGAAAAGGCGTAATTTAATTTTTATTGTAAACAATTTGAGATGTGATTATAATAACACTCACATCATTTTGGGAAATAAAGTAATATGTCACAATAAACTTGAAAATATTGTTGTTTGAAATTAACTAGATAAAATCAATGTTGTGAATGAAGTATTAATATAGAATTTTGTTTGTTCACAGGTGGACACTTTCCAATCGGTATACAAGAAGCTTACGGGACGCGAAGTTACCTTTGAATTCCCAGAACCCTACTTGTAAACTAGAAATATGACTTTACAATAAACACCATAAAAAAAATTAAGCACGACTTTCATTTTAAAAACTAAGCACGACTTGGTTGGTATCGATATATTATCTAAGATACTAATATTGTAAAGCTGAGGAGTTTGTTTTTTTCTTTGTTTATTTGAACGCGCTAAGCTCCGAAACTACTGGTCCGATTTAAAAAATATATTTCTGTGTTGGATAGCCCATTTATCGAGGAAGGCTATAAAATATCACGCTGTGATTAATAGGCTCCAGTAGCAGAGTGAGTGGAACCGCGCGGAAGTAGCTAGTTACCTATATCCTGAAACCTAATTTTATCCCGTTTTCCCCAAACGTAACTAGCCTTCGGCTATTAGGACCTACATTTTCCGTCTACCAACTTCGAAACTTCTCTTTTGGAACCTGAAACATTTAGGCTATGGCATGGCATTGGCGTGATTTAGGCTAAGGAACACATACCTACATAACATCACGCCTTTTATCTTCGAAGGGGTAGGCAGAGATGTACATTATGCCACTGTACAACGTAACACCCGCTTTTCACTATTTATGTTATGAGTCCCATGTAATAGGGGGTGAGCCTATTGCCATATACCGGGCACAATTCCAGACTCCGTGCTAATACTGAGATTTTTTTTAAAAAACCCAGTAATACTTTGCCCGACCCGGAAATCGAACCCGAGACCCCTTGCCCGGCAGTCGCACTTGCGACCACTCGGACAATGAGGCAGTCTAAGGAACCTCTATACTTATTATACTCTTTTGCTAAGGTCTCACAGTGCGATTTTTTCCCGCGCCCACCGCGGTGCGGAATGGAGGCCGAATTTTCAAAACTAACGAGACCGCAGTGTTTTCTGCGCTCGCAAACTTTGCGGTTGTTGCGCAAAACGGGCGGGCGGTTAATAATCAGTTGAGTTCCAGATCCGTCTCATTGCGATCGCCCGCCAACCAATCGCAAAACGCGGGTGCTAGCCACTGCGGATGCGGGACCACGGGCCGCGCCCGCCGGTGCTCGGGAGCCGCAAAAACAACCGCAACCGCCAACATACCTATCTGTAATCTGTATTCTACAAAGGCGGCGGACGCGAGAGAAATCTTAGCCTTACGCTACACTATCATATTACCATGTCATGACCGAATCGTAACCCAGCTGGGATCATCCAGTATGTAGTGAAACTTGGAAAAAAATGGAGGTCGGATTATGAATGCAGTAGTAAAATAAAACAAATTTCATTATATCACTACTTTTTATTCACCAACAATCAGTCCATCCCAATTTTATATTAAGTTCACTGATATTAGTATTCAATATTGACATTATAAAATATATAGACATAGATGACGATGACGATGATTAAATAAAATAATGAAGGTTTAATTATAAGAGAGCTTACAAATATGGATATAATAATTATGTATTTTAGGTCTGATCAAAATATTTTGTTAGTAGTTGCACTTTCTGCACAATTTTGCAAAAGGTAACCTTATTACTATAGAAATAGGTGCTAGAGCCAATTTACTTGGCACAGTTACATTTAGGCACGAACCACAATAGATTCAAGACTCATTCTTCAAGAGCATTCTGTAAAACGTAATAAATAATAAAAACTTAACCTGGACAAAATAACTGATCATACAATAAAATAACAAATTTCAGACATTACACGGTAATATTGTAAATTAAAATAATAAAACAGCAACCCAAGAATATTCTGAAATCAAATAAATATGAATATTTACAAAATCATTTATTGACTAGTATGAAATCATTAAAATAATATATCATAATAGGTAATTGGTCATATATCATTTATTTTGGTCTGAAAGGAGCCAAGATTAACATAGCATTTTTGAGCCCTATTTCATTGGACACCATAGTCAGGCGACCAGGGGGCTGACTCTTGAATTCAATTCCGATTGATCGACATTGGTATTGTGAAATTTCGTACTCTTGAGTAGCAGTACTAGCGCCTCTTGCATCCGTATTACGTGGATATTAATGAACTAGATGATATTGAGTTTGGATTTATATTCCATACTCTAAATTCTATTTTAACGGCTACGATAGGGGTTGTTTAGTTTTGACATTGAGATTGGTTTCACAAGAGTAAGCAGCCAGATCGCACGACCAATAAAATGTAAGTAGGTATTGGCTATGTGCGCGACAGTGGCGACCCGTAGCGTTTACAACATTTGCGGAAGCTGTCAAATAAAAACAATGTAAACATTATAATTTTCTTTCCAAATATAAATAAAACCAAAGATTAAAATAGTATTGTTGACATTTTTAAGTGCAATTGATTCAATAGTTTTACTGTAAATGAATATAATAATAAAAACCGGGTTTGCATCATCCGCATTTGTTTCCAATTTCTGCCGTGTTGTGCGCTGCGGTCGTTATCTGCCCGCCACTACTCGCTTTGCACATAGCCAATACAGTTGTATGAAGGGTACACATGGTAATGGTACCAACTTGGTTGTGCAACTAACTGTTTGCCAGCGACCAAATCAACTCGACTGTTAGTACTGATTTCCGATGTCTCTGTAAGTCTAGACCTTGGTTGCGCGACTGATTGTCCCATGAAATAGGGCCCTTATTCTTACAAACACACTGCACAGTTTGATATGTGTGACAGACAGACACCTCGATATAATTTGTAACGACAATGTGTTGGCTACGTCTAGACAAGTAAAGCTTGATCACCAGAAATTCTACTGACCAAAAGACATGACGCTATTTGTCTAATATTCCATCAGTAAGATAAACATTATTACTATTATAGACCTCTGATATGCAAAAAATATTATTTAAGACCACAAAAAAACAAAGAATTTCCTAAAAAACTAAATCAAATAATTACACCTACACCATTCCATTGAACCGAATAATACAAAAGCTGAGTAAAGGTAAAATGCATAGAAATATAGTATAGACACCTACTTATTCTAAACTTACATCTAGACACATTCAAAATTTTCATAAAACTAGATTATCAGGGACATTCAGAGCCTAATTTCTTTAGGACACTGGTCGTACGACCAGGTTGCGCAACCAAGTGGTTGTAGTCAACTGAATCGTGCTTAACTGTGTTATGTTTATAGGTATTAACTATTAAGTTATGTGGCAATAAACCAAGCTGTAATATGGCTCTAACCATGATACATGATCTAAAAACCAGTTGCGCAACTAATCGTACAACTACAACTATCATGTCTTAAAGAAAAAGGGCCCTAAAATTCATTGTGAAACGAAATCCAACTTGGAATGAATCAAACTTCAATCATTATAGAATAGACAAATAAATAAAAATTATGCAAAGATTAAAGAAATGGACAATGTCCTTAAAACCTTTAAAAATCATAAAAATTTACTAACACTGCCCACCCTCTTTTAACTCGTCGAGTACCGTCATTATAGACACAATTATAGAACAATAGGTTGCGGTCACCGGTGACCGCTTGGTATTTGACAGTTTAAAGTAAGGATTTTCGCATAATCGTTTCGTTCAAATTAAATCACAGTAAAATTATATTTTTGTGACACATCACATTTTATTGACACCCTTTTTGATTTTAAAAAATCATTTTGAAAAGGGTCCGATTTTAAATCATAGTTTCATTCATTTATAACCGATTTTGATTTATTTCGCCCTGTAATTGCTTTCAAAATGTAGTTCGAGCATTCTAACATTCTTATCGATTAAATAAACTTGTGGACATAAAAAATAGGTCTCCTATCAAATCGTTTGCAAGGTATGAATGAAATCATAAACGACAAAAATATATTATTTAATAATATAATTTTATAGCTGTTGTTAACAATGGAGGCTTAATTTTTATGCCCACTGGTTTAATAAAAAATTAAAATGCATAATTGGCAAACAGAAGTCCCTTAACACAATATATTTGCGCATAACAAATGAAGTTGCGCACAACGTTAGCGCAAGGGACTGGCATTTGAAATCATTAATACATTGTTAATTAAATTAAATCCTTTTTAGCTACATAATTGCATTATGTTAATAATTTACCACTTTCTTTTAATCCCTTCCTAAATATCTATCCAAAATCCAGTCGAACTGGCTAAAGGCCGAATCAGCACACAAATACAGTCTTCTTACAATTCCACGTCAAGTCGAGTATTACTTAGGTCTCACTCCATACATTTATTTATAAAACCCGTACATAAATAATTACTGTTACTTGATTTCCTTTAAATCAAGCAAGTATGTACATTGAGTACATGAATATAAGGTTTAAAATAAAGATTACTTCGCGACAGTGCGATTTTATACGCAATGTTTGCAATATCACACAATAGTTGATGTACTTTTGACTAATCTTTTATTTGAAGGATCATAACATTGATATTGCTTTACAAATTCATAAACTACGCCACGTCAATTTATTTTAAACCTTATTTCAATAACAATTATATTGGTATTTGCATTTACATCGAAGTATTCATTCAAAACATTCGTAAATCATTCGTACGTCAGATATTTTTGTTAAAAAATATTTGCAGGACATAGCAAATCAACGGGTGGAGTCGGCAGTCATTATTTTTGGAAAAATAACTTAAATTACAATCACGGTAATTGAAAAAACGTAACACCTAAACAGACTATCGTACTTTTATAACTGGTAGTGGCGCTAGTGGCGAGTTAGACTTTAGAGCCGGTGGTTTAATGTCATTCTTCTTATATCTAACCTTTTTCAAGTAGTTAAGGGTTACATGGAGTGCGAACTGCGCGTGGTAACTCACCTGAGACCAGAGGCTTAGTTATTGTAACGTTACTCTATTGACACATTCCCTCTGACCCTTTTCTATCCTATCTATCCCATAAACTCTTTATGATTCGTCAGGCATAATTAATTAGTATTAAATACTAACTATCGTAAGACCTAACTCACCAGTGCTGCCACCTACACAGCGCAAAAACGACAGGCGTTTATTCTAGGAAAGAATTTAGGTAGTCTTTTTCTGTAAACCGGGAGGAGGGGCAATATTTTGAGTGTTATTTCCTTGATTTTGTTCAGTTGGGGCTGGTGTGATGATTCTAAAGTAATTTACTGGTACTAGACCAGCGGTCTTCCCGTCTGTGCTAGCCATAAGCCAGCCAGAGTGCATTAAATGCTGTTGAAGCTGCATGGGAGCCACTTGGAAGATCTGGTTCTCATGGAGGGTGAGCTCCTGAGGAGATGTGGCCGTGAAGGTGTAATTGGCGACCGCTTTTGGCGGATTCTGCCACGTTGCTGGGTCAGCCACTGTAAGAATATTACATTAGTGTTATTTGTTTGTTTTCAATGATTTTATCTTTTTTCTGACTTTGTAATTATTATAGTCTGCTTTGTTTAAGCTGCTTCCTTTTATAATAGAACATTGAACAGACAGATTACGGCACTTAATGCCACTGTACAATGTAACACTCACTTTTCACTATTTTATGTTATGAGTCCCATGTAATAGGGGGTGAGTTTATGAGTTCTATTGCCATATACCGGGCACAATTCCAGACTTCGTGCTACTATTGAGATTAAAAAAAATCCAGTAATACTTTGCCCGACCCGGGAATCGAACCCGAGACCCCTTACCCGGCAGTCGCACTTGCGATCACTCGGTCAATGAGACAGGCAGATATTGTGGACTGTATAAAAATTTATACGTACAATTCTCCTGTATAGTAGTGTTCAGTCTAGTCATCATCTTCAGCACGATGTATGGTGCGGCTGCCACAACGGCGAAGAACATGATCACTGGCCATCCGGAGTAGCGGATACCCTCAGGTCCCTGGGCAGGGAGACCGTTTTGCTGTGTTGATGCCACAGCTTCGGCCCACGCCTGGTGAGAAAAAAGATGTTATGTAGACAGGTGGTGATAGTGATAGACGTAGAGTAAAAATATCGTGGTGGCTCAGAGGTTTAAGACGCCGCTTCTCGTGCATGAGGGTATCCTCAGCCTTGCCGTTAGTATCTAGGTTTCGAAGTCGTATGGCTTCGAAACCTAGACTAGATACTAACGGCAAGTACCAATGTGACTTTTCTCGAGTGATGCCTATGTACTTTCTAAGATTATTTAAACACCATTGACAAACGGTGAAGCAAAACATCGTGAGGAAACCTGTGCTTGAGCAAGTGGTGATTAATAGTCAAACCTTCTTCGTGTGAGAAGAGGCTTTTGGTTAGTAGTGGCCACTGATACGCTGTTAATGTGACGCGAGATGTAGAGTCAGCCAAATTAATTAGTATGCAGAGCAGAGGGCTTGGTACGACTTACACCTTACACCGCGGTCGGCGCTGATTGGGTGGTTCATTGGCGCCGGCCAATCAGAGCTTCGAACGCGGTGTCGTTTCGGTTACTTTTAACGTAAAACAAACTCGTACTAACGCCTCAGGTAAGAAAATATAGATTGTTTCAGTACAGACTAACTTTTTTTTATCGCATAAGCCGGTAAACGAGCAGACGGATCACCTGATGGTAAGCAATCGGCGTCGCCCATGGACACCTGGAACACCAGAGGCGTTACAAGTGCGTTACCGGCCTTTTGGGGATTAGGAGTTTGAGGATCGTTGGGATTCAGGAATTGCGGAGATTGGGGAAGGGGAGGGTAAATGGTAACGAAACACAACGCAAGCGTTGCTTCACGTCGGTTTTCTGTGAGGCCGTGGTATCACTCCGGTCGAGCCGGCCCATTCGTACCGAAGCATGGCGAGCTTACACTTGTAACTGTAACCAAATCTTTTCTAACTATTTGGCGTTCATTGTTCTCAGTAAGTCTTGTGTATTAAAACTTTTCTTATTTGAATATAAAGGACCGTCCAAAAATTACGTCCCACGCTAAGGGGTAGGGAGGGGGTCGACGAAGTGTGACATTGTGGGACAAGGGGGAGGGGCGGATCCTAAACTTTGTGATGTCACATTTCAAAAGACTATTATAAAACACGAAATATAACTGTATTAATGTTTTTTATTGTGTTGGATTTGGTATTAATATTTTTTAAAGTAATTTTAATAGAAATAGAACTGACTTCGGAACTGTCTCTCGCTGTTTTCATTCAATAATTTTTATACATACGTAATTCTGCAAAATATGACGTTACACGAGGGGGGGGGTCTCACAAATGTGTCTAGCTGTGAGAAGGACGGGGGGAAGGTCAAAAAAATCATGAAATTCGTGTGACGTAATTTATCAATGACCCCTAACACCCACGTTTTTCAGTCCATATTACGAGTTTGGACTCACACAAGTCACTGTGTGAGTCTCATGTCAAGGTTGTACATGGGTGTATTGTATATCACTACACTACATAGTATAAAAAAAAGTCGCTATCCGCCGTCTGTCCCTACGTATGCTTAGATCTTTAACACTACGCAACGGATTTTGATGCGGTTTTTTTTAAAGATATAGTGATTCTTAAGGTAGGTTTATATGTTCAATACATGTATAATGCATCCGTCCGTAGCCGGGGCGGGTCGCTAATAAAACACTAATACAAGGTATTCTCAGATAAATCATGTACAAAAGCAAATACAAAGTGTTAGATATTATATTTTTGCTATTACATATTCATACGCACACGTGAATAATATACCCCTGTTATCTCTCAAGATATGAATGACGTATTAAAAAAAATAATAAAACAATGAGATATTGTCTATTCGCGTGACTCGTATAGATAATGGTATCAGACTATATCTGTTGATTACTAACGTGTTGTATAAACGCTAGTAAAACAAGCTATTTCAATCTAACAAATATATGTATTTCGTAAATTTACTGCCTCGTTTGCCGACTGGTCGCAAGTGCGACTGCCGGACAAGGGGTCTCGGGTTCGATTCCCGGGTCGGGCAAAGTATTACTGGGTTTAAAAAAAAATCTGATATGGTCTATCTATATCTGTGGTGCCCGGTATATGGCAATAGGCTCACTCCCATGGGACTCATAACATAAATAGTGAAAAGTAGGTGTTACTTTGTACAGTGGCATAATGTGCACCTCTGCCTACCCCTTCGAGGATAAAAGGCGTGATGTTATGTTATGTTTGTCATAGATTTACAATCTTATTGTGTTACAATGAAGACAGTGAGCTGTGGTGTTTAAAGAGTAGACTATAACATATAGACATTATCACTACTGCGGCCACGTTAGAAGGTAGTAAATGCCAACTTTATGACTACATATAATTATGACAAACAGGGACCTAGCGACAGCGCTCTCTGATAAACCAGGGGGCTTACTCTTGAATCCAATTCCGATCGGTCGACATTGGTATTGTATTTCGTACTCTTGAGTTACAACACTAGAAGCCATTGTATCCGTATTACCTGGATATTTAATAAACTCAATGGTATTGAGTTTGGTTTTATATTCCATATTCTGAACGCTATTTTAATATCTACGAAACCCCACCCGCAACATCAGAGGAGCCACAGGTGCGTTGCCGGGCTTTTAAAAAGGAAAACGCTCTTTTCTTGAAGGAGATTAGGGTAAACCCTTAACGGCACCCTAAGAAAAAAGTATATTAGTACAAGTTATAGTAAAAAAAATCAGCAAATAAATGCTAGAAAAACTTATTAAAATATATGATATTTCAGATTTTTTTTTTGACGAAGGTTTATGTAGGACTAACGGCCCGGCCCGGCTTCGCACGGGTGCAATAAAGGTACATGTATTATACATATAAACCTACCTTAAGAATCACTCTATTAAAAAAAACCGCATCAAAATCCGTTGCGTAGTTTTAAAGATCTAAGCATACATAGGGACAGACAGACAGCGGATAGTGACTTTGTTTTACTATGTATTGATGTAGTGTACTACTGTGTACTGTAGTATACTATGTAGTGATGTAGTGATATACCTATGTATGACATGTTAAGTCAAGATCAAAGATCAACGTTTTGCGACGTTAGATTAGAAACGAAACAAGTTTCTATTATTATCGCACATCCATTGTCAATCTGATAAGGCTAATATCGGGATAAACATTATTGATAGTGTGTTTTCCAGTATTATAGCATTACTTACATGAAACTTTTTTTTTTTTTTTTAAGGGGGGAAAATCATCGAATGACTGCTCCCGCCTGGGTGAGGCGGGAGGGAGTGTCAGACTCTTACTGACTAAAAACCACCCCGTTCCTTCTCCTGCACGTCGAGCCGGAGCCCCGGTTACCCGTTAGGTTCTCCGCGACTCCGAATCGGCATCGGCCCTATTGGGCCCCATCTGTGGTGGTCTGATGGCTCTTTGAGGCGCGCGCGGAACGCGACGCGCCGTACGCTCGGGTCTGTTTCTGGTCGGACGGGGAGCCACCCATGCTCGCCGTCCGCAGGCCCGCGCTTACGGTGGCCGGAGATCGTCCCGCGATCCCCGACGCCCGGTGTGTCCTTCGCGATGGCTGGGTTGCGAGGAGGCAGCGCTTCGCTGCCTCACGCGTCCCGCCTCCTCCTTAGCTAGCATGACTGCTTCGCAAAAGGAGGAGACGGCATCCCAATCCCCCTCGCTCCGCATCATGGCCTGCACTAGGCCCGGACGCGAGAGGTCGCCATCGCCGATCACTTCCCTGAGGACACGGCGGTGCTCAGCCCACGAAGGGCATTCTCCCACCGTGTGTTCCACCGTGTCCTCAGGGCGGTCCTCGCAGTGATGACACCCGGGCGTTTCCTCCCGCCCCATCAGACACAGGTACCTCCCGAAACTCCCATGTCCGGTGAGGACCTGCGTTAGGCGGTAGGTGAGGACGCCGTAGCGTCTCTCAAGCCACTCCTCAAAGAGGGGACTTACCGCTGCGATGGCAGCGAGCCCAGCCCTCGGTTGCGACAGTCGTTGCTGCCATTCCGCCATGAGATCGCGACTTACATGAAACTAGTGTAATGACATGATTTTGGTATTGGCTATGTGCGCGACGGTGGCGCCGCGTAGCGTTTACAACATTTGCGGAAGCTGTCAAATAATAACAATGTAAACATTATAATTTTTTTTGCAAATATAAATAAAACCAAAGTGCAATTTGTTCAATAGTTTTGCTGTAAAATGAATATAATAATAGCAACCGGGTTTGCATCATCCGCATTTGTTTCCAATTTCTGCCGTGTTATGCGCTGCGGTCGTTATCTGTCCGCCATTACTCGCTTTGCACATAGCCAATAACAATGCCAGAGGAGGATTAAACCTAGGGCGGAGAGCGCTCTAGGCCAGCACCACATAAGCGCCTCTAATATTTTGGCGCCGCTATTAATTTATGGGCACACGTTTCGCGGCGTCCCGATGCCCCTTTGTAACCTACTGGCACCTTAGACACTTGTCTAGTTTGTCTTAGAGATAATAAGGCTCAGAATAACAAGTGAAACAAGTGAATTTATTTCTGCAAATAAGCTACGAGACATCACTTTTACACGTATATTTTATCAAGCGAACGATGAGGCCGACATTTCTGAACTGACTACTCTGAGAAGAAATGCCGAAACGAACTCAAAAGTCCGTCTCTTTTAAAGTCCAGACAAATATGTATGAAAGATTGGGTATGTGTGAGAACCGTGCAAGTTCATTCAAGGCGCATGTAATGCCTCATGTGTCGTAAGCGTCAATAGGCCACGGAAACCGCTGACCATCAGGTGGGCCGTGTGCTTTTCTTGCCACCGTAGTGGTACAAAAAAAAAAGAAAAAGTCTGTTGTGACTTTTTGAGGAAAGAACGATAACAGTTTGAGCGGACCCGTCCTGACGGCAGTACGCATGTATCGGTTTACAATCAGCTCAATTATCAGGAGACTGACTGATTCGACGAACAATACTAACCAAAGGAACATTTGGGTGGGTCGCAAAAATACTCGAACTGGCAGAATGGCGAGGCAAGGTCTCGCAAGGTACTTGCACTAACAATGGTAAAAAAGTAACACCTAAACATTGGGGACAGAGACTTGGCAGCAGCGCTCTCACTCTGCGGATTTGAACTGCGGTTTTTTACCTTAATCCATTCGTGATTCGGTAAGATAATGGCAAACTGTTATAGAGCAGTTCTTTATGAGTCCAGCAGGGAACTGTCTCAGGTTTTTGTGTAATTTTGACGTTATATAGATACTTAGAATGTTTTGTTATCTCGATTGTATATACCCATGTACCCCACACTGATATACCTAATTATAATGCTTATCATCTCATTATCAAATACGTATTAACATTTTTATCATCAAATATAACGCACTTCTGTATCTTGGTACTTATCACTTCACTTCTCGTACTTCTATCGTTTCCGTTAGGAAATTAATACATGTACAACTCTTTTGAGCAAAAAACACTTAGTCAAAAATTATGGCTGCAGTAGACCTCGCGGATTACCGTAGCTCCAGGTCGACGTAGGAGTAAGAACGAATTTGTTTTAGTCAGTAAGAATCTGACACTCTCTTTCCTCGTCTAAGGCTGGAGAAGTCATTGTACGATCCCCCCCCCCCTCAAAAAGTAGGTAGGTAAGTATTTGATAACAGTCAAAGATCTAAGTGGCAGAGTAAATAGAAACATTATGTCATGCGTAAGTAAATACAATTATTAAAGGTTAGACCTTTGGCACTGACAAATGAATTTTTGTTGATAAAATATCAACTTCAATTCATTAGAGTAATATGAAGATTCATTTTCGGCTCGGAAGTCAAGAGAGAAGCTAAAATCTGAGATAAAAGCGGAAAGAAAGACAGTAACACCGTAGATTAAACCTAAGCACCTGGGAAATACAGATCAATATCTAATGGTTTTACAATCTTACCTGGAATTCATTCTCAGTCCTGATTCCAATGAGGACCATCAGCTTCCTAATGATCCAGTTCAGGGTCCGTACCACTGCGAAGGTGGACCAGAACTGTGCGAAGAGCGATCGCAGTCTACCGACGTTTTCTGCCACCCCTGAGTATGGAGAAAGGTCATATTGTATCATGAACCACTGAACCAGCTAGCCCTAAATAGCTTCACTAGAGGACTGACCGACTGCCATTTTTTCTTTAAAATTTAAACATTTTGTTTTGACGTTCAAAAGTGCCTTCTTGGTCTAATTGAAATAAATGTTTTTGTCTTTGACTTTGACTAGGCTATTTTGTAACTGTCAATACGAATTTTTGCAGTGACCTCGATCGTATTCTCGCCCATCATTGGTCGTGATTATTCTTACAACCAATGTCATGGCGGACCGCGATCGAGGTCACTTCCATTTTTCGAATTGAAACGTACAGCCTAGCAGTACTAGGGTCACCCCATCTAACATGACACATGTAACCGGTAAAAAGGTTGTTTGAATAAGTAGAACTTGGGAGCATACGGGAAACACGTGAATTTATTTTTACAAATAGGCTACAAGGCAGCACTTTTACACGTCAATTTTATCAAGCGAACGATGAGGACGATATACAAGACATCATCATAATTAAATCTATATGAAAAGGTTGGTATGGTTGTCTGTCTATTATATGTAAACAAGTAATGAAACACAAACATTGTTATCAATTATTTTATGAAGGACTGAAATCAACGAACTTTTGTTTACTAGGTATTAGTGCAAATAGTTCATATTTTCGTTTCTACAAAATTATTTTACTCTACACTACATAACTGTAATTTTGGTACATACCCAAAACAGCCCTAAAAGAACTGGTCATAGCGAAGAAGGTGCTCTCCAGCATCATAGCCACGCTGCCCACTGCATTCACCAGGCTCTGGATGGACTCAAATGCTGGACGAGACCGCTCCTCAGCCATCTGTATGAACCTGGAGGAAGAAACTTCTCAAAGTAATGCAAGAATCTCCCTGAAAACCCTTAGGGATAGAGGGCGCTGTAAAATATAGATTTATATAAAAAAGTAATCTGTCTACCATGCTTATCTTGTTATAAGGAGTAAAAAAGGGTTGGAGGTATGGAACAGGGACGTATCCTGCGTGTCAAATTGAAGTTATTGAAATGTGAAAACGATAATTTGCTACAAAGTTACATATCTTAAAATCACTATCGAATTATTTTAATTAGTACATAGTTAAAAGAATACGAAAATAATTGTATTTATAAATATTTTTATGGATAAAACCTAAAAATTGACTGGACTGAGGACACATCCCAATTCATACTTTTTTTTTCATTCTAAATATTGGGCACCTATGGACACATTGAGGTAGGACACATGGATACATAGTCAGAGGAAATTACAAACTATTTATATTGAAACAACACATGAATTAAATTAACACATAAAACATAAAAACAAAATAGGTAGGTACATACAAAAAAGCTAAAAATTTTTTTTTAAATTAAGACATTACACGGTTGAGAAACTCGTTGACATAGATATAAGAAAGACTATCTTTTATCTATGACCGTTGATGAAAATGTCAATGAAAAAAAAATTGGGTTTGGAAATGAAATTAGTTATTCATTTTAATCCCTATAGATGTATTTGTCAGAGAAATTGTGTTGCACTAAACAACAAAATAAACATTTGTGGCTGAAGATGAAAAAATATTGTTAAAATATTTATAAAATAAAAAGAAAACTTGTTCAAACCAATTTTAGTGACGCTAAGTTGCTTCTCTGTAATTGTAAGGTCATCTCAGGTTATTGAAGGATAAAACTCTGTTTGTGTATCTCAAAATGTGTGCAATGGTGAATAGGGTAGATGACTAATTTTTATTTTAATGTCCGTCTGGTAGATTATTTTAAAACATTAGACACGTATTTTTTATTTTCTTACAGAAACGAAAACTATCGTCGATATATTGATTTGAAATGTCGCGTGACGTCACTTCTATGAAAATTGTATACGTAGAAATGACGTTTTATCCACAACTCCTAAACTTTGATTCATTTTATCTAAGTATCATTTTATTATGCGACAAAATAAAAAAATACGTATCTAATATTTTTTCATTACCTAACTAACGGACTAATTAAATTATTAATCTTCATACCCTGTCATCATCCCTATTGCATAACATGACACAATGCAGTTCTAAAAAATAAAATTTCATATAATATACAATGCCAATTTAATGAAATTTGTGATGTTATTTTTTATGTAGTGTAAGTATAATATATATAAATATGAATCCCTATTTATCTCGGTCACGCCAATTAGAAATTTTGAATGACTGCAGCCAATTCATAATTTTGGTTTATTTCGAGTGTATTTTATTTAATATAGTTTGGTAGGTACTTATTGTTTTTGATAGATATGGTTTTTTAAAAAAGGCCATCAGATAAACAGGAGTGATCTACTAGCTTTTACAAGCTATTCTTATTTATTTGAAAATGTAGTTTTTATAGTATGACACTTTAGTAATAGTCATAGCCAAAAAAGTAAGCCTGCATAACGCTAATGGTGAAAAATAAAAGAAAACCAAAACATAACAAGCCTTATATTTTAACTAACAAATATAACAAAAAATTGGTACATTCATGAAAAGCCGTATTTATTTTTTTGACCGCCACGTCAAAAAAGCGCCAAGCTCAAAACTCCAGTGAGGATGGAATTATTTTTAGTCCTTTTGCGATACTTAACTGACTACTACATATTTGATGCAATAGAAAGAAAGTTTTTGACTTCATAATTATGAATTAGTACCTACAAGTTGAGGCATAATTAACAAAGGAAATAATTTAAAAAATGGTAATTTTTGACGTTTTAAAATACCTACTATGACGTTGTCGCGATCGTAATGTGTTGAGCACATTGATTTGCACTTGACTGTGGCGGTCAAATGATTAATACTATAGGACCTTGAATAAATTCTTGCTATTTGTTAACAATCTGCATATAATATTTTCATTTTAGTTTTAAACTTTATGCTTTTAAACTCTCCCAATCTTTTCATGCAGCAAGTTATTTTTTCTTTAATTGGAAATCAGTGGATGATCAAGCCTTTCATTAAAGTAATATTTATTAAGCGGTTGACCAAAGATGTTTCGATTTCTTTTTGCGAATAAAACATATAGGTATATCTTAAGTCTTACGTTATGTGTGTCAAGGGCTTAGCAATGTGTGTGATCTTTTATTTCTATTTGATTCTTATAATACGAAATATTCGTGTCTTACATTTCTCCATAGAAACCTTATTTCTGCCAATTTTATTATTGTCATACTTCTTTGTCCCAGTATTGTTTTTGGACAAAATGTTTAAGTTTTGTTTTACAATACAATTTCATATAATTGTGTATGTATGTATTCTTTATCTCTATTCTTTGTTATTATCAGAATGTATCACTTCATAAAAAAACGAATTTGTGTGTTGAGTCTAAGACCGATTGTCATTGCAAGTCTCAATTACACTTACATATTTGCTTCAATTGCAGATTTTTTATATTAAAATTTACCATTTTGACTGTTAATTATAGCTTGTAAATTAGCATACTGCTAAAGAAACAGAGCTTATTCAAGGACCTAATTAACTACTAAAACAATTAAGTTGACTATGCTATTAAGAACCCCAATTTATCGCCAGTAGGGTCGTCATCTATCAACTTCCAAGGACTTCGGTTATGTTTTGCTGCCTCCATCATGTTTGCTGCTTTAACATAATCTTCGAACATCATTCGGTTTCTCTTACAAGGATCAAGTAGACCTTTCAGAGTAGGTAGCCTGCAAGTCCATTCGTCTATCAGTTTGGCTATGTGACCAGTACACCGTCATTTTATTTTTTGTCTTTGACGTAGGGCATTCTTAGTTATTATTTTTTTATTTTCAATTAGCTTAGCTCTATACCGTTTTGACATGATCTGATTTCGGATTTTATTCTACATATACATAAGTAAGCTTAACTAGCATAGGTTACTAAAGGAACTACGTAGTATATGATACAATCAGTAGAAGCCAAAAAGTAACATTGCTAGCACAGAAGCTGAAAGGCGATTCGCTCTTGCACTTTTTGTTTTTTTTTATTTGCATGAACAATTGAACATGTAATGATAAATATATAAATGTCATGTGATAAAATAAATATTGATGGCATGATGGCTAACATTTTTAAATGAGATGACATTTGAAAACAGACAATGGGTAAATGAAATATTGCATCAACATCAAGTAGCTTGGGTATGACGAAGAAAGTTCATTCAGGAAGATTCATGCCTTGCATCGGTAGCAAAATCAAGAGATATCTCAGGCATTCAAATTGTTAACATTTAAATCAGATAATGTCAACTCAAAGTTAGTGATCAAATCTGAAATGTGCTGTTGTGGTCCTCATTTATTTCAGTAGTCACTGCTATCTTTATGTTCACCGTCAGTCATAATAATAAAACATACTTTATATTTTTTGTTTTTTTTTTTTTTTACATTTTTAGACTGATGTTTAGTTGAGCATTGTAAATTTAGTTTTTAATTAAACAAAGATACTATTTTCAATAAACAAATTATTTAGGGTATGATAGTTTTTCCTTGTTATTTAGGTTTGAATGAATACATTACTTAGGAAATAGCTATTTATTTTGAAAGGGATTAAGTTTCAAATTACATTTGAAGTACTGGATTGAATGAAGTGTTAAATAAATTTTGTTAATAAGAAAGAAAGAATAGAATAATTACCTTGTTTCATAGTTGTCCATGAATCGGTTGTAGCCCCCATACATACCCCCCATCCCTCCCATTCCGTAACCACCTAGTCCTCCATACCCGCCATATCCTCCCATTCCCATACCCATTCCTCCATAGGATCCAATCCCACCATAAGATCCCATTCCTCCATAAGCTCCCATCCCACCCATAGATCCCATGCCACCATAGGTGCCCATTTGATTGCCATAGGACGGTTGAGCGAGGGCTTGATTCAAGTCTATCCTGGGTGGTACCGGAGGAGGCTGATTTGCCTGAACTCCAGACACTTGATGCATTCCTGCAGGTACGTAATGGAACCCTGGATCATGCGGTGGCAAGCCCATATTGCTTGGCATTGGCATACTGCCTGGCTGCATATTACTGCCGTAGTTAAAATTATTCATCGGTTCACTCATTGTAGTTTTGTAATCAACACTGCACTAACAACTGGACTTGATACGCACAAATAATTCAGTCAAGTAACAAAGCACACATTCACTGATAAGCGATGCACGCCATCTTAATAAACAACGTTTTACAGAAATAAATAGTCATTGATTTTCTCTGCAGATTACGCAGCTGCGCAAAGGGCACCTGGATTTATTTCATAGAGTTCAATATGCACTTTTATATGAAATACGTCCTGCTCTATCCAAATATCTACGGAAGATGTTGACAATGACGTTGACGTTTCACATTATTACTTTGACAGTACATTGACGTCTAACGAATAGTGTCGCCAATCGTAAGAATAAAAAAATAGCTTTCCTTCTTTTTAATTACGACTTTAAACTTATTTGTCTTATTTGAATGATATTTTTGTTATAACTACGACTTTACGTCTTCTCGATATTTTGTTCAAAATAAGGACGTAAATAACAGTGTGCAAGAGAAGTTCGTTTTTCTAAAGTAACAATACGCTGGTATGTACAAAAACATAGACAAAACGAAAACTGGTTTATATCTTCAATTCCTTCAATGACAAAGGACAATGAGCAAATGCCACACAAAATACAATAATATTATTTTCTAGCATTTTATACCGATATTACCGTGAATATAATAAACTGCTTCATATAACTGCATAAATAAATAAATATCATGTTTACATCGACTTCTGTGAGTAATCATTGAAAGTGAAAACTCTGTCGCTTTGATAGTGACCTATTTTAAAAAAACAATTGTTGTCTATGTTCCTAAAGGGTGTCAATAATTTCGATAGTGCAATAAACTTTGTTGTTATTTGTTTTAATACGGATTTAGTGCTACAAAACTTGTAAAGCAATAATTAGACAGACTAAAGTTCTTTGTTTTAAACGGTAAGTGGTCTTGAGAATTATAAGTATTCGTGCTTAATTATCAATGTTTCTATGACGAAGTAAATGTCATTTTTTGCTGCAAGTTTTTTTAATGTTTTCTATGTTTTATTGTTTACAAAGATATTTTATTTATTAAGTGGACTGTGTACAATGATATCTTAACCTAATATCAACTGCCTGTGCATGTTTATAAAAGATTTACATTGATTTACTTGGTATTTGAAAGGTGTAGTTTGCGACCGGTTTGAGAAGGCATAACTTTGCGGGGTTACCGCCTAATCAGAGTCAATTACTCTGAGCTAGTAGACGGAATGACACGAGTAATGAGCGTTCATTTCTGACGCCTCGAATTGGACGTAAATTGCGAAGCAAACTGCTAATTGTTGACACCTCTATTTGGCGCTAGCTGCCTTTAGAAATCTTATCTAAGAAGCTCTATACTGTCGAATTGACGCCTATTCTTTGTAGCTTACTTACTTATAATACTTGAGTAGGATTTAAAAAGTTTTTTAACAGAATTATCATTGATTAATACTCTATGTATTAATCAGTGATAATTCTGTTAAAAAATGGAACAGTGCTTGAGTAGAATTATAGGTATTGCCAAAAATAATTACTCAAGACTTTTGTTTTGGTCTAATAATATTATGTTAACAACAAAATTTTAATAAGTTTTAATATTAGTATTGTAGTTTATCAAGTTCTATAATTTAATATGCAATTTGTGGTATAGGAAAATGTTACACTCTCAAAATAGAAAATTATTTGTGGATTGTACAGGATAACAGATAATTATATCAGTTAATACCCATAATGGTCTCTAATTTAATTATGGTACGGGATATAAAATTATAAATTACTTTAAATTATTAAATTAAATGCTTATAGGTCATTCAAGAAAAAGTATATATATCGAAGCTTATCTATAGGATTTAAAAACTATTATTAATTACATATTTTGTTGTTTCATTGTATGCCTGTTGCCAACAAAAATGTGCATGAACAACATCATAATATGGTATATCATCAAATCAGCCACAGAATGTCCACTGAGCATAGGCCTCCTTAATGGCAATATGCCAATATCTTATAGTAATCTTATAAGAACTAGCTATTGCTGGTCGATTACACCTATTGCTCCTATTGTTTTTATAGCCTATTCCATGGCCTTCCTTAATAATGCACTATCCAACACAAAAAGTATTATTAAAATTGTACCAGTAGTTTCAGAACTTAGCACATTCGAACAAACAAAAGTAGTCTTCAGCTTTAGTATGTTTCTATGCACCTATTGCTCACTAAGCTCTTAAACTATTCTATTCATGAAAAATACTCGTCAGCCTACACAATTACCTCCTAGGTAGGTGTGTGGGTGCTATATTATAAGTGTATAAAAATGAATTGCATATACACTGGAAATTGGAACCTTTGTTTTATTATTGTTCCATGTGAAAAACGAACCCGTGACACACTTTCGAATTGTAAACTTTACATTAAACTTACATGGCTTACAACAGTTTCATTTTACCATGAAGCATATAAACAGCAAACTCCTGGCGTTCATGCACGTAAAGTAACAAAGGCGTTAGTTCCCCATTTTCTCGCAACAGGAAAGCGGCAGCACTGTCGCGGAAGGAGCTGTCGCTTACCTCTCGCCCCTATGTAAAATCGTTGCGCGATACCGTGTTAATTTATGGTCTGTGTATCCCAATGTTATATTAAATTTTGTCTAATATTTACGTTAATCGTTGTTTACGATGTTTTTTTTACTTTTTAGTAAGAGTCTGACACTCCCTCCCGCTTCACCCTGGCGGAAGAAGTCATTCGATAATTCCCATCCTTAAAAATATCCTTAGGGATTTTGCGTTTGACCTTATAGGATAAGACAATAGATTTGTTCTCGATCTCAATGTTGAATTCTTCTCCACAAATAATTTTAAACCAAGTGCATTTGATAGGTACGCGCGAAAACGCGTGACGTAGGTACGTACGAAATTCAGTGTCAATTTTCGATCTCTTTTTCGGAAAACATTTGGAACCAAAACAAAGTATATACCTAACATCGACCTATTTTGTTTGATGTTATTTATTTCGAACGTTTTAAAAACCCTTAGAAGAGATTTAGATCGTCCCTTCCCTACCAATATATTCGTGTATCAGTGGATTACAAATTAATATGAATATTAAAAGGTCGGGTCGCCTTCGTCGGGCAGATAATTAACAACTTATTGCTGCATTTTAATAGGGATCAATACTTGTTTACATAACTTGACCGTTTTTCTTTGTAGGTCCAACTTTCAAAGAGGTTTCAAAGCCTCAAAGAGACTAAATACATATTTTTCTTTTTCATTTTAATGGCGGTAAAGTTTCATTTTATCGGTGGTAGGTAGCGCGGAAAATGGTTAAAGACAAAAAGGGATCCATTTTCTAGGAAATTCTTGGTAGTTTTACGAGCACTTATTAATTTATTTTCCAACTAAGGACAGTTGCCTTGGACGGGAATAGAATGTGTCAGGATGAAAGGTAGCCAACTTATGCCTTTCTCCGTATTCCCAAGAACCTATAAACTAAGCAATAAATAAATAAATGAGGAAGGAGATCCGTAATAATTTCCATTTCTATTTATCTGTACTTACAATGGAGTAGCCATTGTTACCTTATTCTTAATCTACTCTCCCAGAAAAAAACGTATTATCTTGAAGAGAAGTCCGCTATCATATTTTTTGTAAAGAAATAATTCCTTTTTCCAATTTCAAAATCCATTTCCCAGTACAATAAATAAAATGTAGTTTGGTATAAAATACTGGCTGTTTGTATGAAAGGAGTGCGAATCATGTCGGCCGGAACAGTCGGCAGCGTCATTTCCGGTAACGTCTCGCGAACGAAATGGACCAGTTTTGAAATGGGGCAGCGGGACAACCTTGTTGGGCGTCCACTTTTTATTATATGATGTTTCTATCATTTTGTTAAGTGCTTACTAGCTGCATCTCTGTTTGAGCTACTCTGAAAGAAATTGGAGATGCAATGTTTATTCTAATCACTTGTAAGCTAATACAAAAACGACATTTTTAAGCCTGTTAACCAATATAATAAGACAACCTTATAACAATAAGACACTAACATATATCAGAATCTATCTACACAACTCCTGTAACGTAATTTCAACTCCAGTTAATAACGTACCGTATTTATCCTCCATAATAGAAGTGTTCCAAGAGCATCTCAACAAGTTTGCGGGCTCGTGTTTAGACCTGTCCTTCAGTGGAGTGTCTGTCACCGCCTTATGACGCAGACTAATGGCTCGGCTTGTTCTCAAGACCTTTAACAACAATATTGTGTTCCCGAGCCGGATTTTACGCCATAGTTTTGACAGACGTGGATTAAACCTCGAGAGCGCCCTAGGCGAGCACCTTATAGGCGCCTCTAAATTATTTTGGCGCCGCCATCACTATGGGGACGCGCGTCTCGTGGCGTCACGGCGCCCCGCTGTAACCTGGCGCCCTAGGCACTCGCCTAGTTTATCCTAGGGATAATACGGCTCTGCAGTTTCGGTATGAGGGTCTTAAGCACATAAGTTTTAATCCGGTACTAATTTTCTAATGGATAGGGTCGTTGATAGTTGATATTCTATGCTGAAAGGTCAAATTTTGAGCTTCTTGCGGTTTGCAACACAACTGTTTGTACATGTTTTTGTATGTGTGCTGCTAATTTGAGACGATTCTCGGAGTTTGTAAAGAACCGTATGGCTTAACCCCTTGTAGTCTTGAAATTGGCTAAGTTCGGCTTAGATTTGTAAATGCTCAATGATAATATGAGAAAATCTACTGAATTTTTTTTGTTTTTAAATTGTTTCTACTTTCTCTCATGACACATACCTTTTTTCTATTTTTCAGGTGACATATTCCTGTAACAACTTGGTCCAGTTGGTAAGTAAATTCTTCTTATTGTCTCTCATAATTTTGATCAAATCATAATTTTGGTAAGTTTATGAGAACTAAAACTGTAAAACTGTTTTCATTATATTTTTCTTCTGCTCCATATTTTTATAGTCTAGAAAGTAGTTCAGGTTTTATTATAGCTCTTCATACATTTTCTAGATGTTTTATTGTTAGTGTTTCGGCCAATAGCCTGAGTGAACTCAAAATTATATAGATATATAGTATCGTTGCGTATATTATTCGATTTTAAGTGGTTACCGACCGAACCATTTTATGCAGATGTTTTAAGAAGTATCTGCAATAGTTTCTTTTATAGTCTTATTTTTACCGATTTAATTAATTATACTTACGTTCGATTGACTTGCTCTTGACACAATTTCAATCAACCGGTTGATAAATCCATCTCCTAAAA